AAGAGTCCAGAGTGACCTAGACAATTTGGAGGATTGGGCCAAAAGAAATTTGATAAGGTTCAACAAGGACAAGTGCAGAGTCCTGCACTTGAGATGAAAGAATCCCAGCACTGCTACAGGCTGGGGACAGATTAGCTAAGCAGCAGTTCTGCAGAAGAGGACCTGGGGATTACAGTGGATGACAAGCTGGATATGAGTCAACAGTGTGCCGTTGTAACCAAAAAGGCTAATGGGGGGCATTAGTAGGAGCACTGCCCACAGATCTAGGAAAGTGATTATTCCCCTTTATTCAGCACTGGTGAGGCCACATCTGGAGTACTGCATCGAATTGTGCCCCCTTTTCCCATTACAGAAAGGATGTGGATGCATTGGAGAAAGTCCAGTAGAGGAAATGAAAATGATTAGGAGACTGGAGCATATGGCTTATGAGGAGAGACTGAGGGATTTGGAAGAGAAGAGTGAAGGGGGATTTGAACCCAACTGAAGGTGGGTTCCAAAGACAATGGAGAGAGGCTGTTCTCAATAGTGACAGATGACAGAATGAAGAACAATGGGGAATGTCTAGGTTGGATATTAAAAAAAACTATTTCACTAGGAGGGTGGTGAAGCACTGAAATGGGTTACCTAGAGAGGTGGTGGAATCTCCATCCCTGGAGATTTTTAAGTCCCAGCTTGACAAAGCCCTGGCTGGGATGATGAATTTGAGTTTGGTCCTTGCTTTTAGCAGGGGATTGGACTCAATGACCTCCTGAGGTCTCTTTCAAACCTATGCAGGCCCGTACACAGGGGGTGGAAAGGGTGTGAATGGACCCCTCCCCCCATGATCTCCCGAAGCAAGCATGAGGAAGCTCAGTTAGGGGGATGGGAGAGTGCTGTGTTGTGAGGGGCAGGACAGGTGAAGCTGAGGAACAGCGTCAGGGCCAGGGGAACAGCATCCCCCACCACCACCTGTGAGGAGTGGCCCGGGCCCAGCCCCGCTGGTTGGAAGCCCCACCTGCACTCAGTGCTGGTCTTGCGGAGCAGATAGAGCAGCAGCAGGCAGAGGCAGCCTAGGGAGGGGGGGCCATGATGGCTGCGCTACCCGCCATGATCCCAGAAGGTAATTTCTATAAAACCTTTATTACAGTATGCATTTTTAGTATAACAAAAATCATTTTACCAATCACCGTTTCCACTCAAATTTTCATTAACCTCTTATGAATGTTCATTGAACGACAATACAATCAATATTTACAAAAAAAAACACCTCCCCCTGCCAGAAATTCCTGTGCACAGGCCTCTGGTTGGAAATTTTCTAATGAAAGTTTTCCACTGGAAACACTAATTAAACAGAACCTAGATATTCCATGATAATGTGCTGATTCTGTTGAAAGTTTCAATATGGAACAGACAACTCCCCACCTTCCCAGCAGTTCATCCAGCAGACATTCCACACTTCACAAACTGTCCATCTGGCAAGCTCCCCAGCGAGCAGGCCAGGCTACTTAGCTTCCCAAACTGGCCAGCTTCCTACATTCCCCACCCTTCTTGCCTGGTTCTTCAGCCATCTTGCCAGGGAGCTATGTGGTTAGCTGGTCCAGAATTTTAAAAAAAATGTTTCCCCTGAAACTGAGTTTTTTGAAAACGTTTCTGTTCTGCAGACAATTTCTAATTTCTGATATTTCACTCTGAATCAAAATTAAAACCATTTAATAAATATGAATTTTTCCATGGGATAGAAATTCTAGGGCCTGCACAACTCTATTAACTACACAACTCTGATTCATCTCTACAGCCAGTCCATCCTGTGCACAGATTGAAATAGGGGCCCTGTTAAAAAACAATAGTATGCCATCATACAAAGACTTTATCATAGTATCTATGCCCAAGAGGGATGAATTAAAGTTCCACAGGCAACCTTAATTCTGGTATTTTTTTAACTTTTAAGTGCTTGCATGTTTGTCTTTGCAATCACATTCTTTTAAGGTTTTTTTTTATATTTAAATTTCCTAGGATTTTAATAAAGTAAATTGTATAAACAGATTCCATCATGTAGCACATTAACACTTCTATTGTTTATCAGCAGATCTGGAACCTCTACGACTACCACCCACAGATCTTTGCTAACTGAAGAGAATAATTGATGGCGGCAATAATAGGTTTTCATCCTTTATGTCAGGTTTTCATCCCTTTCATAGGTTTTCATCCTTGATGGCTACTCAACTTTGGAAGCCCCAGGGGCCACAATGATATTCACAGTACATGCCAAGGGCCACAACTTAAGTGTGGTTGCATGTACATGCAAAGATAGGCAAATAGCTTTCACATTGATGGGCATTAATACAAAGATTAAGGCAAGACTACATAAAACACAGGCCCCATTTAAGTCAGTTCTGCTGATATTAATAAAATGCAATATTTACCCAATTTCCACCCATATGACAGCACTTAACCAGCAATGACATTCCAGGAATTTAAATACTAAAACACATAACAGAAGACCATTATATGCTGTTATTCCTGAAAATAATCAGCGTAGCAGCATTGCAGAAGAGGGTTTTTCTTTCATAAGAAGGGGCAGTGTAGACAGCTCCTTCTGGCACAAGAGCCTCTTCTGCAAAAATGGCGGCTCATTAGGTATGCAAATGAGGCTCAGTGATATTCCATGCTTAGCCTCATTTGCATATTTCTCACGCAAGAAGTCGTGAGTGTAGACATAGCCTCAGCATTCTGTGCTGTTACTTAGCTATAATTTACCCCTAAATGTCTTGAGAGCCCAGTAAGCAGTGAAAGTGTTAGTAATGCTTCTAGACAATACTGACCTCCCATAGTTTGGCAAATTCTATGGTTCAGCACCCATTCAGGTCCACATGGTGCCACACTAGAGAGGTTCAACCTGTAGTCAACATTGCTGGCCACATTTATATTCATATCAGCCAATTTCATAAGAACTGCCAGACTGGATCAGATCAATAGCCCTTCTAGCCCAGTATCCGATCTCTGATAGCGGCTTGTAGGGAGATTGTACAGAACAAGGCAATTTTGGAATATCTATCTCCGTCTTCACTCCTGGTTTATAGCAATCTGAGGTTTAGTGTTGCCCCAAGCATAGTGTTGCATCCCTGACCATCTTGTCTAATATCCATTGTTTGGCCTATCTTCCATGAATTAATCTAGTTTTTTTTTTTAACTCAGTTATTCTTTTAGCTGCCATAACAACCCATGGCAGTAAGTTCAAGTTAACATGAATGGTGTGTGAAAAGTACTTACTCTTATTTGTAATAAATCTGGTACCTATTAATTTTGAATGACAGCCCTTCCGCCAGTTTTACTATTGTTGGAAAGGGTAAACAACACTATTTTTTTCTATGCTCTTCATGATTCATAGATCTCTCTCTCTCTCTCACACACACACACACACACACACACACACACACACACACACACACACACACACACACAAGTCATCTCTTTCTAAGATGAACCCTAATCTTTTTGATCTTGCCAAGCTGTTCCATACCTTTGGTACTGTTTGTCGTCCTCAACCTCTTACAGTTTCAT